AGAGAGAGAGAGAGAGAGAGAGAGAGAGAGAGAGAGAGAGAGAGAACCGACGAATTAATTTCACGACGGTACGAAATTCTCACGGGATTCTGACTCGTAATAAATAACTTGCCCGAGGACGTTAGTGTACAGACCTCCGACTCTCTCTCTCTCTCTCTTTCTCTCTCTCTATTTATCTATCTATCTATCTATCTATTTCTCTCGGTCTTTCTCTTCTTTGAAACGGGTTTCCTCCTTCGGTTGAACGCTACTTGTGCTTCAATGATGACGAATAACCTCACGGAATTAGCATACTCATGCGGGTACCAAATTTGAGAGAGAGAGAGAGAGAGAGAGATACGCGTGATATTTTACCATCGATCTCCTCGAATTACGAGCGACCTTGGGATTCCTCGTAAAACGGCTTTTTAAAATGAATAATTCGAAAGCATACCAATGGTTTAGTTTGATATTCTCGCCCAATTAAATTAACGAAACTTATTATAACTTATTACCAGCAAATTATAATAAAAAAAAAAAAAGAGTAATAATTTCTTCTTCAGGAGCTAAAAACGAATCTTTATTTTTATAAAATATCCTTAAATTAAATTTATTTGTTCGTAATATTATGTAATTAAATAAAATCCTGTAATTAAATAAAAAACAGACAAAGAAAAGACTTACCGGATTCGGAAGGTGTTTGTATGCCAAGACACTCAATTCTCTTGTGATCAGGATGATTTAGATGATAGCTATGATCACTAAGGGTAGTTCTCAAATTTTGTTGCTCACTGTTTTCTTCATCTATCTTCTTTTTACGTCGTCTGACAAGCTGATTCGTAACTGCGCTTACCGGTGCCGCCTTGGTTACCAGGTCGGACATGCATTCCGATAGCTTCTCGTGTATATCGATCTGATCGTGTTTAAATAGAGGAACTTCTTCATCTGAATCTGTATCTGATGTAGATGTTGGTGGTGTGTCCGGTCTTGGGGAATTTCCATCGTTAGTTAAACTTTTTTCACGATATTGTTGTTGTTGTAATGTTTGTTGCTGTTGTTTTGGCAGAGTCGTCGAGGATCGTGATATCAGCAAACTCCTACCAGCTGGTATTTTCTCTTGCGACTGAGAACTTCTGATGGCAGTCGAAGTTTTATTGTGCTCCTGACTTATACATAACCCGGCCCACATGCAATCATGATGACGTATCTCTCGAGATTTCGTACTCGCAGTAATTCTCGAAATATCCTCGAAAAGGCCGGTCTCTTCGTCCATTTCGTTGGCATAGGTACTTATTGGATAATTCAAGTCGAATTTCTTCCAAATATCCTCCGAAACGACGCTCACTGTATCCAAGGAGCCGTCCATAGAATCAGGGTCCGTATGGTCCCATGACACTGGCATTGTGGCTGCGTAAAAATAAATAACAAATCTTTATTTGTTTTATCAATTTTTTTTCCATTTTTTTTTTTTTTTATTCCCTCCGAAATTTTTGATAAATTTGATTTTTGATAAATTATTTATCGATCCGACAATTAATCGATTATTTACACTTTCCTATTTTTTTTTCTTCATCAAAATATAAATAATCACGACTAGAAACTATTCATTGTTTTTGGTAAAGATGGTATAAAAATTGTTGCAATGTAACGTTCCGCGTAGATATCGTGAGAAAATGTTTAACGGTTTACTTTACGCCACGTGCCGCAACACATTGATGTATTATCGCGAAGATCAACAACTTACAACGAACATGTGAATGGAGGTCGCGTATTAACCTTGCATATTAGTAGTAAAATTAGATGACCTTCCTTGTGGACGCTCGGCCGATCGGTCGATATATGTATTTACGTAAACATATGTATGTGTATTAGATATACGTATATGTAAAATATCGCGACTTACGTATATACATACTCGCTTAAATTGCAAATAAGTCATTTATTTCTTTCCGTAATAAATTCTCAGAAAAAATGCACGCGGCGTCAGGAAAATGTCACACGTTTAAAAAAAATGAATAGAGAAGATTAAAAGTCTTGTTATTTTTTCGCAACGATCGATCGACAGGTGTGATGGATTTTATGATAGTAACACATTTACATTTGATCAGATATCGTCGAAGAACATTTTTCGTCGCGATCTTAAACTTGAGCTAATTATAACGATACCTAATATTATTTTAAATAATTCTTTGCATATATTATCTTTTTATTATAGTTCCTATTTTTTCTTCTACGAAAAAAAAGAACGAATAAATATAGATACAGACAATAAGAAACATATGGGGATAATAGAAAACGCCATAAATCATGTCAACGTAAAGAAAAAGAAAAGGACAGCTATTATTTAAAAATCTTTATTCTTCCATCGTGCTAGAAAAATTCTTTTTCCCGAGATTTCCTGAAAAATAAAATATATTCCCAAAAAATTTTTTTCTATTTATCTCTTCGATTTTCTTTTACTGTCCCTGAATAATATACTTAACAATAGAAAGGGACCAAAGGTCAGGACAAAAATGTCTAACAAATCCAAAGAAAAATAAAAGAAAATATAAAATGAAGAAAAGAGAGGAAAAAAGGGATTCAATCAAAGTAAACTAAAAGGGATTCGAACTGAGAAAAAAAAATTTTCGAAAATCATTGAGGAAAAAGTTTCTTTCATTCTTCTTCTATATATATATATATTCCTATATTCTGGAATTCCAACGGTTTGGCTTTTGCATGCGTAAGAGAAGCCGTTCGGCTAGAAATAGAGCATATCGAGTTATGAACATACTAGTAAGGAGCTTACAAGTATGACTCATAATCAACGAAGGAATTCCACGAGACCTTATCGTTTCGTCTACTGTGACTATTACGAGAGAGTAAGGGAAAAAAAGAGAGAGAGAGAGAGAGAAAAATAATAATGAAGAAACAGAAGATGAGAGAAGATGAGAAAAAAGGAAACAAGTCGACGAATTTTTATCGCACGGCAATAATAAACTTCTGCTCTTTGGTTTTATTCGCTATGCTATACCACTACTACAACCATCCTCTCTTTCTGCCCTCATACCGCACCCCTCCATCGTCGTTACATCACCGCTCTTTTTCTTGGCGTCTGTCCGACGAAATTGCGCGCGCGCACCCACGGACCTTGATCCTCAGGAAGGAAACGCCCTCCTTATCGAATCTCGTGCGAGACCTCTACCGTTGACATCCAAGATGATTCAAATCGGGCGATAAACTGGACATTAACCCTTAACTATTAGAAAAGATATTACAAAATAGCTGACTAGATTCAACAATAACATTTCTATCTTATACTACCCTTAAAAGGTATTTTTCTACATTGCACCAGTCAGAACATTTATCTTATATCTTATGATTTAATGTTTTCTTTTTTCAAGCAAACTTTCTATTTTTGTCAACCTCTCCTCACTTTCTCTCTGTCTCTCTCTCTCCCTCTTTCTCTCTCTTTCTTTCTTTCTTTTTCTTTCCCTATCGTCGTTTTTTTTTCCTATTGTTTGCAAAGCAACCTAAACACGATAAGAATATATGCGTGATGTATGTTTTGGTTGTTTTTACGTGGTGACATTTACAAAAATATCTTATTAACCATCTTAATTTATTTGTATAAAGACAAAAATATAAAAAGAATAAATGTTACAGCGCTTGTGAAAGATATCTAAGAAATTTTAATTAAATTTTCGATACGAAATACGTCAATGAGATTTGTGTTGAATTCAGGGAAGCGATAAAAAAAAAAAAAAAAAATCAGAAAATCAAGACGAAAGTTGTTAGAAAAGAAATAATTCTTGCATATGAATTGAACGAGCCGACTCCTCTTTGTAAAGAACATCCATTTGTACGATTCTAAAAAAAATTTGCCTTAATGAAAGAAAAACTCATGAACAAAACGTTTTTCCTCTCCTCTATTTCCTTTCTTTCTCAATATAATTCTAAGGATGCTTAACAAAAGACCATAGGAAGAAGTTAAAATGACCATCGAAAAAAGCAGCTTAGAACAGGAAAGGAAGCAAAAGAATTCTTTTTTATTATTCTCGCCTTTGGGTCAACTGAATAGGGACAATAAAGACCGATGCTGCTCAGGTCAGTTTACATACTAGCTTGCCAATGACCTCTTCGAAGCAACTTAGTACTATACAGCAAAATAAATAACAAAGAGTAAGAGAAGAGCATTTACAAAAAACACTATATATACTGTTTAACTACGTACGATAAATACGATCATGAATATTTTGAAGAGCACAGAGAGAACATAAATAGCGTCAGTTTTTCTAATGTTTACTCGTTTTTAGCGAAATTTTTTACATAGCAGAATAAATACAAATGTACACAATGAAATAGTCGGCAAATTTCACTTATATGAAAAAATTCCAATCATTTTTTGTCCACGAATCTAATTACTACGACGAGGAGAAATAAAATGTTACGCTCAACGGTGAAAATATTTTCTTGAAGATGAAATGATACAAAATTTCAATATATATTCGATATAAAAAAAATAATAATTCTTACGGTCAAACAAGGGATTAATCAAAACCGATTTCAAGTTTCGCATATTGAAGAATATTAGTGAACTTTAATTCATCAACTTAATTAAATGAACAAATTAAAAAATACACTGATTACTGCACACAAATTTCACAAACTTTGGTTATAGCACTGGTTTCTAAAATGTGACTTCACGCTAAGCGGATAGCTCGTCAACTGACTGTAGGAAAATTTAGAAACTGAAGGGACCTTTAGGAAAATCAGGTAAAATTGGAAAATAGTGGGGATGGGGGTGTATTGTAAGAAGTAGGAAAATTCAAGGTCCGAAATAGGCGTGGCATTACATTGTAGAATGCAGAAGCGGGAAACCTTTCCTGTCCCTTCCCCTTCCCCTTGCCCTTCCATCTCTCTTGCTTTTCCTAACTTTCTCTTTTTTTTTCTTTCAATGGTTTTCAAAATGCTTGTACGAGAGGGGATGCTTATCTCACAGTTTTGATGATTAAAATTGTGGCGCCAACGATAACTCGATTCAAGTCTTTAATTAAAAAAACGCGTCTTTTGTAATCATCGACTCGACGAATGCGTGATTCAGCAAAATACTTTATTTATTACCATTCTGAGGAGGTGCAAGAGGAGACACGACGGTAAAAGAGCGATATTCTAACGACAAAACTCGAAGCTAGTTTCCGCTCCCGTGAAATCGATATACATGCACACACACACACCCATATGCACGCGCACCAAACGTACGCTGCTAACACATGTAGAAAAAACAATGGGATCACGATATCTATTTCAAGATCAGAGTTTCTTTCTTGTTCTTTTTTTTTTTTTTGGATCTATAAATATATTGGCATGTGTATTATACATTATATATATTGAAGTAAAGAACTTTAGATTTAAAAGAAAAAAATGAATAAATATGATTGATATTAAACTTGACAGTCAGTTTGAATAAAGCTCGAATGTTCCCATTCAGTTTAAAATACTCACCGCGACTCAGAAATAATAGCACTTTTGGAGTACCTCACATATACGTATGCAAACATATATATATATAGTTATGCCGTAGAACGTGCACACCGCGTGAAATTAGCTAAAAGCGTGGGCGACCAGTGAGAATCTCGCGCTTTCTACCGCGTTTAAATATTCACGCTTTTCGGACAGTCCGTAACCTACGGCAATTCTCATCGTATATATCACACGCATACATATATATATATATAGTTATATACATAAGTATATGTAACACGTTGAATCGGCCAAGAGAAATTAAAACTTTTCCCATAGAGCCTATTTCTATGAAAGAAATATTTTTGTTGGAGTGGGGAGGGCTTGTTTCATGTATCGATTTTCTACCCACAACTTTCTCTCCCTCTTTTCTTCTCAATGGTGATATTAAAGAGAAAGAGAGACTAGGAAAGACCCTAACATAAGATAGAGGAAAACGAAAGTAAAAGGAACGAGGTGTCAAATACGAGATAAGAGATAAATGAAGAGATGAACTAGAAGAGAAAGAAACGCGCGATAAATAGATAAAGATAGATATAGGACATAAACGACGAAGCGACAGATGAATTTTAGGCGCTCCCGTCTCTTTCTTTTTCTTTCTTTCTCACTCTATCTCTCTTTCTTTCTTTCTTTTTCTCTCTATCTCTCTGTCTTGAATCTTACTCTCTACAAAATCTGCTAGTATACTACATTAGTATCTCACACTAGTATAAAACATTGCTATGATAACGATAAGTTACAATAGTATAAAAAAAGAAAAAAAAAAAAAAAAAAAAAAAAAAGAAAAAAAAGAAAAGTCAAAAGAATAGTGAAGTAAGAAATAGTAAAGAAAAAAAAAATCTAAATAGATACGACACATATAGTATAAATTATAATATAGTATAGTATAATGTAATAATTGTATTGAAAAGCCGGGGTATGTTCACATACCTGACAGCCACCACTTCGTGTTGTAATCCAAATGCGAGATAGTATCCACTGTGGAACGCACTTTGGCGCGAATTCGAATTTCGCGGTTTTATATAAGAGAAAGAGAGAGACGGTTGATACCGTAGTAGTAGTAGTAGTAGTAGTAGTAGTAGTAGTAGTAGTATAGTAATAGTATTAACACGATTATGAAATTCGCAGATAAACGAGGAATCTTACGATACCTCGTTTAACACGCTCGCCGGTATGAGAAATGTAATCTTTTTCTTTAATCGCTCTCTCTTTCTCTTTCACATGCACTGCTTTTAAACGACGCGTAATCTTACGCCTGCCTTTCTTTCTTTCTTTCTTTTTTTCTCTTTCCCTCTTCACACGATAAGAGAGAATAAGAAAATCAGCTTACAATGATGTCTTATTTTTCTTATGCTTTAAAGCAGCGTGTACTGTTAGCATTTCGACACAAACTCCCTTGTCGTTTTCTTTTACAGTCGATAGAGTTACTTCGAATATATTTTATAGAACATCTACTACCGCTGCCTTCTTCGACCAGGCAGAGGAAGAATTTCATTCTTAAAGTGATCCGCACAAGGCTTTTTAAGGTGGTAAGCCTTTATCTTCTTTCTATCAATTTATTCTCTTTCTTTCTCTCTTTTTTTCTCTCTCGCGCTCTCTCTCTCTCTTTCTCTCTCTCTCTCTCTCTCTCTCTATTTGTCGTATCTATTTGTACGTCTTTTTAATACCGTAATGTCAGCCTCTCTCTCACTCTGTGTAAGCTCTCGAAGGGAGTCGTACGTACGCGCACGCTTATCAACAGCAATCCGATCCTCTCGGTAAGGCCGGTAAAAGGCGACTGAACCGTGCGATCCCGTGCGCTTTCCTTCCATCTTCCGCGGCTATGTCCACCGCTTCGGGACCCGGTGCCAGAACCGTATCGCTCCAACTTCGAACCCCGTTCTTAACATCCATCTTTTAACATTTTATAATTATTTCTTTTTTATTTATTTTCTTTTTTGTTCAATTATTTATTTAAAGTACATTTGTCTGAAATACATATACATTATTTACGATCAACGCGATTGAACGAATAATCGTTAATATTATCCAACGTTAATATTTCGTTCGTAGGATGAAACTCGAATATCGCGAACATCCTTTTACGAGAAAGGCATTCGTCCTCTGGAATATGTTATGGTTTGATGTACGCCGTCTCGCGTAAGTTTGTCATGGGAGAAACGTGGAGGCCACATGTGGTGCGAGCTTGCGGTTGGCAACCTGTCGGAACCTGTACGGATTTAATACTTGCGAGCAAACGTATTATCCCTTATCCTCCTCATATCATCATGCTCCCACAACGTCTATACTCCTCAATCGCGTTTATCCGGATAAATTTACACGCCGATAACTTCTTACGCCTCCTACTTTGTTCTCCCTATCTCTCTCTCTCTCTCTCTCTCTCTCTCTCTCTCTCTCTCTCTTTCTATCGTTCTTTCTCTACCAAACACGGGGACCTTTCAATTTTCAAACGAGAGAAGCTAGCCTATCGTTTTTGTAATAAACGCGGCTTACTTGAAAGCCGTCCACTCTTTTGTATACAAACCTTTGAGTTTGTAATTAAAATCTTGGAACAGTCTCGACTTGGCCAATGGCATAGTAGTCTCTTTAACTTTATCCACTTTGAAACCACGTAGCAAAAGATTATATGATATTATGAATATATCAATAATGTCTGTGTGTATATATATTTATGTGTTTGATTTGTGTGTATGGATGTATGGTAAACGCGTGTTTACGTCGATCGATCAAAAACGTGCCGTCTCGCAGAGGAGAGAGCTTAGCAGAGCAGAATCTTCAACGGAGAAGGCACGCTAAACACGTTAACAGATACTAGACTCTAAGCATCGATTCGTCGCACGTCAATGACCGACTCGTCGTCAGCCGAGTGATGCTAGAGGGTTGCTCGGATGCCACGACTTCCATCGAATCATCACGACGTAGACAATGGCATTAGAATCAAATTGACTGAATATGATTTACATACATATTATAATCCTATTTATTAATTTAAGAATTTTTTCTTTTAAATGAAAAAATTAAAGAAATCAATTAATGTCATCCATATTAATTATTATACCAACATCGTATTTATCATGAATTCACACGCGCACATGACAATCCATTAATATTAGTTATCATTTTTTTGTATAAATGTACGCGCGCAAACGGCTTAGCCCTTGACACATAATATTGTGCAACCGAATCGACGCGGAAAGCGCGCGTTGAGATAGCCTCAACGTTATGTCACTTCTATCGTCTTCTTCTAATCTGCATATAATATACAGAGATATATACGTGTTGTGAATGTGTAAGAAATATTTTTCCAGTATTACGCTAAAAAAAAAAATCGACAATCTTCGTAGCAACTATTAAACTTATAGAAATGATGTAACATATCAAAATTATAACGTTTATTAATGTATATCTGTACTTACTTGTATATTAATTATATAATACTTTAACGTTAGGAGGATTAAATGTAAATGAAAATTCTTCAAAGCCGAAACACTGTCAGTACGTCACATACAACTGAGTGACATTCCATGTCACTTATTTCTAATATGTCAGGTGTCCGTTGTACCCCGAGCGTGTTGCAGTCGATGTTGTAATATTGCGAATACTCGCATACATATACCATCATTCTCTTAACGACCACTCAACTATTATACGGCCTCCGTACACCGCATCAAGAAGTGCATGTGTTCTATTCTATAAGATAATATTAATAATTTCTTATGAAATAAATAAAACAGATCAATAGATTATTATTTAATCGTTTTATTAATAAAATGAATAAATTTGATCATTGAACAAATAATAAGTTTTCTTTGAAATAAATGATCTACAGGGGTACCCTATTTTTTAAACCGCGTACTACGATCCTGCACATGCCGCGTGGGGGGCCGCGCCCGCCAGAGTTCTCTTCCATAATGTTCGACTTTTTGCAAAAATTATGTTAACGCGAATGAAAAATGAATGTTCGTGTATTAGTGGGAGCTTGAAGGAAATCATAGGAAGTTATATCGGCGAATGTCTTGGTGTACTTCGAGAGATTTTTCGTATCCATTTAATACACGGGACTATTTTTCTGGTGCTGCTGTCAGACTGCGCACTGCGGTTCGACTTGCGCACAAAGTGACGGCTTCGAGCGACGCGCGAAAGAGGCGCCACTGAACAATTAACGCGTGTGCTTCACGCCCACAGGAAAACGGCGGACTACGACATGTTGCGAAATCGAATCTCCTACGTGTTCTGACATAGAACGATCATAATTTCTTTTTCTTCTTTTTTTTCCTTTTCTTTTCTTTTTCTTCTTTTGATAATTTTGATGCATCAGTTAACAATAAAGTGAAGCACAGAACCTTCGTACATTTTTTACTTTAAATATTTTCAAGTAAATTCTATTTAAATTTTTGAAAAATATATTTTTCGACATCATTAAGCCTTCTCGGAAAATAATTTTAATTGTCTATAATTAACAATAATTGTTTTCATTGACATAAATCATAATTTGATATTAATGTCGCTAGATAATTATTCCTAGTTTAATTATCTTTTAGTTAATTTGTATCTATTTGTGGTAATTAGATTTTGGATAATACGTTATTAATCGATAATTAATTGACAATTCCTTTGTACTTTCTTCAAAAGCTAAGAAAAGAAAGTAGATATTGATATGATATCATTTAATGAGAACCGGAAATATTTGTCGTTAATAAGCATACCGATTAGTGTTCCCGATAATGTATATTATACTATAATTTAAAGAATTTCTAAACATAGAAAGGAACAGCGTATACCGAGTTTTGAATTTATATTGTTTAAATATTTTTTACAATTAAAAACTTTATCGACGAGTATAAATGATTGAAGTTAAAAATATAAAAGCAGTAAAGATAGCTATGCTTTTTCTAGCCGATCGTGCGATCGCAGTTCGCTTATATCTTGTAGACCATTAGATTAGTTATGCACGGATAGTAGATACCACGGTGAAAAAAAAGGGCTGTAGTATAATATTGTGGGCCCAGGAAGAGAGGAAAAAAGGGGTCTACTGCGGAGTAGATAAGCATTAGGAGGTCAAATAGGACGCTCGACGGTCGATCTTTTGATCTCCGTTGCTTGCGGTTAAAGTTGTGTAATTTTCGAAGGGGTTTTTTATTTCTTCACGAATGATTCTATGAAAAGGGAGAAAATTTGTATTCTTCTAAATTACAAAGAAAAATTTTCAATTCGTCGAGCATCGTAATAGAGTTCCGCGTAAAGATTCTATTAATAAATAAATAAATCTGACACATGTACAAAATAATTTGTCATATTTTCAACGATGTTTACTCGCTACTTTTTCGTAGTAAAACTGGATAGAAAATGTAATATTTGGCAATAACAAGAATGTAAATCTATCGAGAATAGAATTTGTTTCTTTCTACCTGGAAAATTCTAAGGACTAGGAAATGTCGAAACAAACGAGCTAAATCCTCGGCCCGAATCCTTCGTCTATGACATGACAAAAGACTAACCTAAGAGAAAAGTAAAGAAATAGAAAAAGGGAGAGAGAGAGAGAGAGAGAGAATAAGACGATTTACGGCAGTAAAGTTACGAGAAGTCGAAGGAAAACTTGCGGAGGCAGATCACCCTTGACAGTTCACACTCGGCTAGCTCGTTCGGAAGCACCGCGCGGCGCATTCTGGTCCTAAAAAGTCAGTTTGAAACTTGATAGCGCTGGAGATCGATCCAGTTTCAAAGGTCGCGAAACGCTTGTTCCCTCCTGACAAGCATTCACGATTCTTTTATCGCTAATCTATAAATCTGACTCCTAGCAAGTAAGTTACGTACGACGATAATTTTTCGGCCTTTTTCACGAGTTAAACGTTCTCCTTGTTTCACAAGAATCAGCGCTTTAAATTGAACAGCCACGAGATATCGAGATACGATAGGCGTTCAATTACGACAAATCTTTGATTTTTTTTTTTTTTTTTTTAACAAAATCTGAATATTCTTTATTGTTTAGTTATCATTGCAAAATTAAATCAATGAAAAATAATAGAAGATAAAAAAAATATGTTAGTTTTATAAAAAGATATAGTAAGATTAATGAGTATTTTTAATTTATTTCTTTCAATTAATGTTCTAAATCTTATGGTTTCCAATACGAGAAAATAATGACGGTCGAGGCCGATTGTAAGGATTTTCGAAAATCGACCGGAACTCTCTTAATCTTTTCGAAAATTGCACCTGTGAAAACTAAACTAGAAAGGATCAGCTGTTCGTATTGATTATTTGAGGTTGGCCCATTGTTGAAACTTTCTTCGGATATTCTCTGGGTCGGAAGAGTAAATATTCTTGAAGGTTGTTTAAAAGAAGGTTATAAGAGAAATGACAAGCGAAAAGTAAAAATAAAAAGGAGACAAAAAAATTGAAGAAAAAGAAAAGAGAGAATGAACAAAAGAATGAAACGAGGTTAAAGTATCAATTGACGATACGACTTAATTTCGTAATATCAGTTGTACATTTAAACAGGTGTACATATGTACATATGTATATACATACGAACGTGCTACTCGTGGTAATCGTTATGGGAAGAGACTTCAACGAAGGAAGACGTTCGTATATATTTTTAGCAACGTATTTACATTCTTGCCTTCTCAAGGGCGAGACTCAGTTCGTTCTTCTGCCCGGAAACACGATATTCTACAAGCGAGGAAAAAGGTTTGAGTTCGAAATCGGCTTCATGAGTCAATTCCTATTTCTCTTTCTCTTTTCGTTTTTCTACTCGTCTCAAGGAACAAACGTCGAAGAACTTAACAAATTTTCGTGATTCACGGACAAAAATTCACTATCGTTCGCGATATGTAATACATATATACTTTTTTCTTTACTGGCCTTGGAGAGGACTATGGACGTTCAAAGAGAGTTA